CCTCAAATCCGAACGATGCGATGGGAGCTTGGTGCCAGGGTCCTGGCTGGGTGCGCGCAATTGAAGGGGTCCCAGGACACACAAATACATACACACAAATAACAGTATTCCCAACATTTTCCCATATTTTCTCGGTTTTGTCTTCCAACCCACTTCCCATATTTTCCTATATTTCCTGGGGAATCGACGATTCATTGTGTCTGTGTGTTTTTTCCCCTCCTGAGCAATGCGAGACGGGTGGCGAGGCGCTCCCCGCGCGCGGCCGCAGCGCGCGCCAGGCCAGGGCGGCGCCGCCCGCGCTTGCGCGGGCCTCTGTCCGAGACCCCCGTGACCTTCGCACTCGCGAACGCCGACATCTGGGCCCCGCTGGTGCTCCGGGCAGGGGGCGATCCGATGCCGATTGGCTGGCCTCGCGAACTTTCGAACGGTCGCGCTCGTAGCATGATGCTAGATATCTCTCTCTCCCCCCTCGCGATCCTCGTCGGCCTCCGCGCGCGCGAGAAGTCCACCCTCGAGGGGGCTGCCCGCGCCTGCGGGGCCCGTCGAGCGTCCGCCATGCGTGCAAACAACAGCCGCAGTCGGGAATGCTCTGGGCGCGTTCTCCGCGAGGTCCTCGCAGGTGTCGAGGATGCCATCGCGGGGTCGGCGACGCACTGGCACGCTGGATGCCGGCGCCAGCCGGGGCAGATCGCAGATCCGCGCCCAGCCTGCGGCCTGTCGGGGGATGCGATGTCACCGCCTCGCGCAATGCAAAGCGAGACATCGTCCTTCTGAGCCGGCGGAACGCATGGCCGAGCAAACAAGCTGCACATGCAGTCACTATTGTGGGCCCCCTCGGCAAGATTGCAAGTGACGCGGGTATCTGCTGTGATCAAGGTTCCTCCGAACTCTTCTACAAAGCCAGCTTAGACGAAAGACTGGAGGCTCATGTTGAAGCCCCCCTCATGACCATCCACGGCAACTGCGGCGCGAGAAGGGGGCCCTGCAGCCTCTTGATACGCCCGACGTGGGCCCCGTTGAACCCCGTGCTGGAGGGGGAACGGAACGTGGCGATGGGCACCGAGCAACCCTGCACACGTGCGGCCATGACTGCGAGGCCGCCGAGCCCCGTGCTGGAAGGCGCGAGCACTCTCGAAGACCTGCTGAGGCTTGACCGTGGGGCGCCCCCTGGCGCTGCAGGCGCAGACGCGCAGGAGGCCCTTCGCCGCCCTCGCTCGCGCGCTCGGCCTGCCCCCCCGAGAGCTGCTGCACGCCGACGCGGCCTGGGCAGCGTTGGCGATCTTGCGAGGCCCGCGTGCCGCGCCGAGTCGCCTCCCGCCTGCGAAGGACAGTACCATTGCTGGCGTGGACGGGCGTCTCGACCACGGCGCAGACATCGGCACTCGCACCAGGGCCACACTCTCTCCGCCATGCGTGTGATGTGAGAGCCGAGGGAGCGTGGCGTGCCTGAACTGCGGCAGCGTTGGCGATCCTGCGAGGCCCGCTGCTGCGCCGAGTCGTCTCCCGCCTGCGAAGGACAGTATCAGTGCTGGCGTGGAGGGGCGTCTCGACCATGGCGCAGACATCGGCACTCCTACCGGGGCCAAGCCTTCTCCGCCACGCATGTGTTGGCGGCGCGCAGAGGGGGGTAGGGGGAGGGGGGAAGCCTTCTTAGAAGCACCTCTGCTTCTTAGAAGGTGCGGGCCTTCTCTGTAGATGTAAGGCCGGCGCCTTCTAAGAACCAGCCTCCTTCTAAGAAGCCTTCCCCCCTCCCCCTACCCCCTTCTGCTCGCCGCCAAATGTGCTGCGAGAGCCGAGGGAGCGCGGCGTGCCCTTCCCGCAGGGCAGCCCTGGCTGGCGTGGAGGGGCGCCTCGACCACGGCGCAGACATCGGCACTCGCACCGGGGCCAAGCTCTCTCCGCCGTGCATGTGATGTGAGAGCCGAGGGAGCGTGGCGTGCCTGAACTGCGGCTGCGGCGCCTGAACTGCCGGCGCGGCGCCTGAACTGCCGGCTGCGACGCGGGACCCAGACGTGAGGCTGCCGCAGCCGGTGCAGGCGGCGGCGCTCGATGGGGCGGAGGCGCTCGAGCCGCCGCCCGTGCCAGAGGGGGGGGATGGGGGGGAGCAGGAGGAGGAGGAGGAGGCAGGAGGCAAAGGGGGGGAAGGGAGGTGGCCGATGCTGCTCCGTTCCTCCTCGCCTCGCGCCTCTCTCGGGGAATCCCGCGAAATCCTTTGCGCGAGGCGTTGGGAGGATCGACAGGCATGCATCTCCCCCCCCGTGCGAAGGACGAGGAGAACGGGGGCGACAAAGAAGAGCCAAGAGGAAGAGGAGGACGTTCTTTGTTTTTGTTGTTTCAATTCCTCTTCCCAACGATCCTCTACGCCTGCTGCCGGTCTGCGTGCTGGCACGCTGTGTCAAGTGGGTCTGGGGCCCGCAGGCTGGTGCGCGGCAGCCTGGTACCGCCTCCAACCATCCAATCGTCTCTGTGCACACATGCAGTCGCGTAGCGTCTAACAAGAAGAGCGCGGACTGGGAAAGACTGGGAACTTTACGAACATCCAATGCATCCGCGATGGCGTTCTCACCACACGCGAAGATGCCGAGCGTAAAGACGGAACCGTCTATGCCTGCGATGCTCTTCTGATGCGGCAGATGTGCTCCGCATCGGCTACAGCGGCATAACCCTCACAAACATATCCAGTGGCCAACCAGGCAACAATATATTATGTTCGCTTTCAACGTGGTTTTCCAATCTTCGGAAGACCGTACAACGTCGCGATATTCGGCGTGACTGCCATTTCCCCGAGAACCGCTGACACCTGCGTCCTGGTCAACACAATACAAACAGACCCCATTTGGACCAATGGCGCCGCGATCCAATCACACGCATCAAAATGACAATGCGCAAGACAGTAAGTTCGGACCTGGCGAAAGAGGGGGATAGCAAAGGGGGGATTTGAGAATCAGCTCACATAGCTGATTTTCCCGGCGCCAACCGGCGCCAGAGGCGGCGATGTATCGAGCACTGGGCCCCTCGGTGGGGCCGAAACCAGCTGCATGCAACAGACTTCGTAACCCTCCCTTTCCGACTCCCCCCCTTTCGTCCGGCCCGATAAGTCATGCACACCATGATCTCCATCAGACACATGCTGGTCAAGAAGATGGCCAACGAAATCAATAAACAGCCCACTGGAGCGTCAAACGTTGCTGCGTTGCCATGCGTAGAACAAGGTAGGCAGGACCGGGATCCCTTCCACCATGAACCGCATCACATAGCTCACGACAGAGGCTTTCGAGAACTCGGAAGACATCAGCTCCAAATACAACACCAATGCAAGCATGCACCGCCAGAAACTAAGGAGACCACTCATAACTGGAGGGGCCCTGGGACACACAAATTAATAGACACAAATAAAAGGATTCCCCATATTGTCCCATATTTTCTGGGTTTTCGTCTTCCCCACCACTTCCCATATTTTCCCATATTTACCTGGGGATCGAAGATTAATTGTGTCTTTGTGTTTTTTCCCTCCTGAATGTAAGCATGCAGCGACAGAAACTAGTGAGAACACTCCGAACTCAGCACCAAAAGGGACGAGACACCGCGACAGGGACCGTAGGGACTGCATATGATGCTGCATCAGGTGCGTCACCGTTGCCGCCATCGAGACTATGTCAAGGATAATGTGCCGCGCCACCATGACAACACGAGAAAAGATATCAGGAACCAGAGCAGCTCCACCATAGTGGCCAGGAGCTGCTTCAGCATGACCAGGCCCCTGTCCATCAGGAAATTCAACGGGTACCATGCGACAGAATTTCCAGCCCAACGGACGGCATGAAACACGCCGGCATCATGTAACGTGCTGCCCAACAAGACCATGCGCCATTCCACTAGGAAGTACAATCCGTACCTCGCGACAAGGGCCCTTCAGTAATTCAAGAATCTCGGGTCCACGTCGAGCATTAACCTCAGCACGCACTGCCACACAACGGCCCCAGCATTACCACAACATTCGATACCATGATCGTGCACCAGGGGCAACAGGACCGGCAAGCCGTACCGGACCAACGACGCCACGCTGTAAAGCCCAAATCTACGTCCAAGAGCGGGTACAACTGGGCCGTCAGGAACACGAACCAGTCCGTCAGCATGCGCACTGCCCAGCCCGTCATCATGCGCACTGCCAAGAAGAGCAGGACCAAGCGTCAGACTGTCGGGAACATTGGCGCGTACCTCAGAAGCTTCATGAGCAAGGAGGAGGAGGAGGAGGAGGAGGAGGAGGAGGAGGAGGAGGGAGGAGGAGGAGGGGGAGGAGGAGGAGGAGGAGGAGGAGGAGGAAACTCCCGCTGCACCCCGAGACGGCCCGGAGTGGCCCGAGGCGGCCTCATGAAGACCCCAAGACGACAGGCCCGGCTCACAGCTGGCCTCACAGCGGCCACGAGAACCCCGCTGAGGATCCCAGGACAGGACCGCTCGCACAACTGGATCGGTGCGGCGACGATCCGAGCAGCAAGATCTGCACGTACACATACACACACATGGGAGTTGGCAACACATGCAAGCGGCTCGTGCCAACGCGCCCTTGACGCGCTGAGAAGGCTCATCTCATTGGTCGTGTGCCGAGCGAACCATGGAACTGGCCAGCGATCATTCTCGGCCGCGCTGCCGTGCTGGGCGCTGACGTGCAGACTCTGCGCTGGACTGCCCATGCGTGCGAGCAGCCCCGACCGTGGCCATGACTAGCAGACCGCCAGGCCCACCAATGAGCGCACGCCACCCTGGGCCGACAGGACAGCTTGAACCGACGTTGCTCTACGAGCGACGAACGGTATACGTTTTCGCTGTCGGGGGAGCCTGTCCCAGGGCGGCTGGGAAGTTTATGCCCTCACGGTGCCACGTAGGGTTATAAACTTTCCAGTCGCCCGGGGGCAGGCGTCCCCGACGGCGGAACAAATTATTGTATACCGCTCGTCGCCCCCCACATTGCAACCGAGCGAGGGCAAACAAATGCTCGCCTTGGCCTTCTTGCCTCCAGCCTTGGGAAGCGCCGTGGACATCCACAGCACGACGGGCACCAGGACCTTCTAAGGGCGGAGGAGAGGGAATGGTAAGAAATGGTTCCCCTCCCCTGCGGTGCCCCACTCCGAAGAGGGACGAACCATAATCATGAATCTGATCATGACGGTAACCGCGACAACGACAATAATCAAACCAAGAACGAGGGAAGGGATGCTTTCCTCTGCGTTGCCCCCTTCCCGTGCCCTCTCCAATGCGAGAGGGAGAGAGAGAGAGAGAGAGAGCGAGAGCGCAGAATATGGGCTGATCAGCTGTCTCAAAAAACTAAGGGGTGCTCGGGCAGCTGCTGGCCGTTTCTGTGCAGTTCGTGGATGGTTGCATAGCTCAGTAAAGCGTATTGTTTGATTTCATTTCCCCTGGAAGCCTACATCCTTAGTGGCTACTCCAACACTGAACAGCCACCCAGGCAGGAGTCTCATCTGCCAAATACCCTCATGACACTCACTAGTTACACCAGGATCCTACCCTTAGGGGCAGAGCAACGACAGCATCGAGTGTGCTCTTCGAGTGGCGCCTCTTCCTCACCCACCTCTGCGTCATTGCCCAGATCGGTTCCCCATTTGCCCCCACCCCCCACACACACACACACACATATCCTCTTCTTTTCTGTTCCAAACTCCTCCTCTTGTCCAGTCGTCGCTTTTGCCCACCCACCCTCCAGCAACTCCACTCCTTTCTTTTTGTGCCGGCGTCTCCCATTCGAGTGGGAGATGCAGCCCCGCCCTCAGCCTGATTCGGCGACTCCGCAGAGTGTGGTTTACAGAGGGCGTGGTTTGCAACGGGCACCCTGAGGGGCATCCTGGGGGGCGGGCGACGACCTCGACAAAGCTCTCCGCCGCGCCCCGAGGAGGCCCAACGAGGACGGCGTCGTGCTCCCCAGCCTCCAACGGTGCCGATCGCAAGCCACACCCCGGCGTAACTATACCCTTTGCACGGTCGGACTGAAGGGGCCCCAGGACACACAAATAAATATACACAAATAAAAAGATTCCCCATACTTTCCCATATTTTCTGGGTTTCTGTCTTCCCCCCCACTGCCCATATTTTCCCATATTTTCTGGGGGGTCGACGATTAATTGCGCCTGTGTGTTTTTTCCCCCTGATCCCCGCCCCTCGAAACACGGCGCGCGTCGGCGGCGGGCGGGGGGGCAGGGACATCTTGGGCGTGGCTTAATGGGGGGGTCGTAAACAAGGGCTCCCAACTTCGCGATTCGCGCTGCGCGAAGCGCGAAGTGCGAACAACTTCGCGCTCTCGCGCCGCCTCCCAGGGGAAAAGAGGAGGATGAGGAGGAACCGGAGCCGAACCGAGAAGCGCGAATAACTTCGCGCCCTCGAGGGCGCCCTTGATCAATGGCGGGGTCAGAAACGGTCCCCTCTCGTGCCCTTTTCGGGCCCCTCTGGAGTCCCAGGGGGCTCGTTTAGTACCGTCTGGGTACCTTTTCGGACCACCCTCGCCACCCCCCCATTTCTTCGGCGGTGGACAAACCTCCCTTTAACAAATCTCCCCTTCAAGAAAACGGCCTGGGACCGAAGCCCGCGGACCTGGACCCGCAAACATGACGGCCGCGACGCCCTCTCGCGAACCGAACACGGCCAATTCGCTGATCGACGCGTCAGGGTAGGAGGTCTGGCCACCCCCTCATTCATGACCCCCCCATGGCGCAACGCCCAAAATCGGGCCGGGCGAAAGGGGGGGATAGCAAAGGGGGGGTTTGAGAATCGGCTCACGTAGCTAATTTTCCTGGCGCCTCCCGGCGCCGGGAGGCGCCCATGCATCGAGGAATGGGCCTGGCGGCGGGGCCGAAACCAGCTGCATGCAGCAGATTTCGTACCCCCCCCCTTTCCCTGTCCCTAGAGGCCTCCTAGATGGGGTCGGAGTAGATGGGGTCGGAGGATCTCGCCGCATCGCCGATGCATCGGAGATGCATCGGCGATGTATCGGCGATGCATCGGCGATGCACTGGCGATGCATCGTCAACGTCGGCGATGCAACGGCGACGTCGACGTGAAGCTAATCGGGCTCCACATCGCGCCGCATCGTCGATGCATCGGCGATGCGGCGCCATCCTCCGACCCCATCTACTCCGACCCCATCTAGGAGGCCTAGAGTCCCCCCCTTCCGTTCGGCCCGACAAACCTCGGTGCCCATCCACTGCTCCGGGCCTGGCCCATCCTGGGCAGACGCCGGGCCGTGATCCCGTGCCTCCCTGGCCAGGGCAGGAGGGCGCGCACGCGCCGCTCCTGGGCCCGTGGGTGGGCCGGTCCCGGGCCCGTGGGTGGATCGCTGCGCATCGATTTGATGAGGTCGGGCACGCCCCCCTACGGGCGGAGTTGGGGAAGGAAAGCGAGACATCATCGAAACGAATAATACCCACTCTTTTGGTCTGCGGGGCGAGAGCGAACCTCTTCCGGTAAAAGCTGGGCGGGCAAAAAAGAAAAAGCAATACCCACACATAGTCAACAATAGGAGCAGCATCGCACCCAGACTATGTTTTGATTCTGTTTGTCTATTCCTCCTGGGGAGGGACGTGCCCGATCTGAAACTATGCGTAGAGATCACGTCGCCCTTCGTTGAGGGGTTACCGACTTCTGCCGTCCCTCGGCCCGCGCTGGAGCTGCAGCGGTTGGCTCCCGAGGTGCCTGGCTTTGCCCCCGATGTGCCTGCGTGTGCCTCGGCTTACAGGGCAGTTTTTAAGACATAGAATTTTGAAAACATTGGATTTTAATACATGATTAATTTATGAGTAACCTTGTGCATGAACTCATCGTTGTTTTTAGTACTGAATCCCTGCATGTTTTATACATGATTCGCACGCAGACCATGTATAAAAAAACGGCACTGTACCTAAATCTGCTCGGATTTCTCTGGCTCGATCCCCACAACTCGATTGGCGAAACGTCATCAAGCCCTTGGTAGACGAGAACGTTCCACTGCTCGCAGATTAGCTGCTCGCAAATGGCCTGGATCCCCCGCGGAGGATCTACGATACATAGATATGTGTTTTTTTTTCTGGCGTTTGCGAGTAGGCACTTGGCGAGTACAGTCGGGGCGCTGACCTAAGGAACCCCAAATAAGAAACGAGGCCCCTTTTTCCCAAGAATTGAACTTCGACCTCCCATGGAACACCTCCGTGAAACCTGGGGCAAAGGGCACAGCAATCAAGGAACACCGAGCCCCTCCCTATCGAAAAGGGTTCCTTCTTCAGCGCTCCGACTGTAGCGGAACGCGCCCGGCCCGCCCCCCCCCCGCCAGGACAGGGGTTGAGTCGGGCGTGTCTCCCTACAGGGGGATTTCCGACGGGAAAAAACATGCAGAAAACATGCACCAAACAACTGCTCAGAATTTCGACGAACAATGAAAAAAACATAACAAATGCAGCAACAAATGCGCAGAAAAATGCCCCCAAAACAGCCCCTTCTCCCTCCACCTGATCCTCCCTCTCCTCCTGCAACTCCTCCTCCTCCTCCTCCTCCTCCTCCTCCTCCTCCTCCTCCTCCTCCTCCTCCTCCTCCCCCTCCCCCTCCTCCTCCTCCTCCTCCTCCTCCTCCTCCTCCTCCTCCTCCTCCTCCTCCTCCTGCTTCTCGAGCCCCAGGGCGGCGGGGCCGTGCAGCAGCAGCTCAGCAGCGCCCACAACCACGGCACGCCGTGCCGGCCCACCGCCAGCGCGGGCGCGCCGGCGCCCCGGGGCTCGCGCGCGGCGTCCACGAGGCCCTGGCGGCCGCTCTCTGGCGGTCAGAGAGAGGGGGAGGCCTCCTCCTCCTCCTCCTCCTCCTCCTCCTCCTCCTCCTCCTCCTCCTCCCCCTCCTCGTCCTCCTCCTTATCCTCCTCCTCCTCCTGCTGCTCCTCCTCCTCCTTCTCCTCCTCCTCATCCTCCTCCTCTTCCTCCTCCGCCTCCGCCTCCGAGTGGGTGGTGACCCGCGGGACCCCCTCATAAATCAGGCAAGGAGCATGGGCCATCATATTGTGACCCGTGCCTCTCACGTGTTCTGTAAACGCTGCGCCTGCTACGCAACCACGCGTTGGCTGGCCCTCAAGCAGCGTTGCAAGCCCGGGAGTTTAAGGACTCTCGGAGGGAGGCTGTCAAGGTTGTGGGACGGACGTCACCCGACTACAGGCCACCCCCTCTAGTGCAGCACGCCCTATAGCTCGGACAGGCCGTGTATAGCCAGCGTGCACCCCCCGTCAGGGCCCCTTACACGTAAGGCCCCTAGCACAGCAGGAAATAGCCCAGAAATAGCCTCCGCCTCCGCCTCCGCCTCCGCCTCCTCCTCCTCCGCCTCCTCCTCTTCCTCCTCCTCCTCAGAGCCTCCTCCTCCTCCTCTTCCTCCTCAGTGGGGAGCAGAGACGGAATGGGTGCGGCGAGGTCGTGTCGTGACGACTCGGGCATTGGTTTCTGACCCCGCGTGGTTCGTTCAGCCTTGAACGATCGGCGGGGTTCCGACCGCCAGATCGTTCCACATAGGCGCACCTGGTCATCGCCGCTTCAAGTAGACCTGGAGAAGGCTGTAAGTCAGCGGGCGAGAGAGCGAGAGGAAGAGAGAACAGGCAAAAGTCGCTATCATGGCAAACCCAGGCGCTGTATTCACAATGAACGAAGCTAAACATCGTGAGAAGGCGAAATCAAGACAAGGAGAACACGAGAAACACTCAGAGAGATAGAGAGAGATCTCAGACAACAAGAGATGCTAATATTTGTTCGACCACAACTCGAACTCCCGGCAGCCCTTTGGGCTAAGGTGGTCTAGCAATTTCACTATTTCCTCTTCCAAAGCCCTCTTCTCGCTGGAGAGGTATACTCTCCCCCCCCCTTCCTCAGGTTTTTTGGCGGGGAGGCGTGATGTGTCAGAGTGCACTTTTCCGCCCAATATGGCTCCAAGAGGGTCTCCTATGCTTCAAGATGGCCTCCGAGGCGGCTCAAGATAACAGAAGATGGTCCAAGATAGCGTCCAACACACCTCCAAGATGCCCGACGAAGGCTAAAAGACGGTTCCAAGTGGTCTCAGAGTCCCCTCAGACTTGATCAGGGACCGATCGTCCCGGCATTCCTATAGTCCTACCACGACATGTTCTTAGAACCCAAGAATGTTCTAATAACAAAAACAATGTTCTTAGAACATAAACCCAATGTGTTCAAACAAGACAGACTCCGCCAGAAATGTTCTAAGAACATTTTGTGGAAACCACAAAAGGTTCTCAGAACATTGTTTGGCAGGGCTATAGCCAAGCCAAGACGCTTCGCCACTTCTTGACAGACCCCCCCAGGAGCCTAATATCCGCCGGTCCCCTTGCGGAGCCACCAGGCTGTAGGGCGAAGGTTCGCAGTTTCCTGTACCAGTTGCAGCTTCCAATTTCCACTGTTACAGATCTGCTTCTTGCTGCTTGCTGTTCCTTGTTGATGGACCGCGCGAGAGGAGGAGGCCCAAAACGGGTATTTTTACAACGCCCTGAGCGTGTACTCTGAATTGCTGGGGTGGGTAAAAATTGACACCCCTCACGCAGATCGGCGGGGTCAGGATCCAAAACAAAAAAAGGGATTTGCCACATTTCTGAAATTCGGTGGCACCCCTCACGCAGATCGGCGGGGTCAGGGTCCACAAACACATGGGATTTGCAACATGTTTGACATTCGGTGGCACCCCTCACGCAGATCGGCGGGGTCAGGGTGCACAAGCATATTGGATTTGCAACATGGTTGACATTCGGTGGCACCCCTCACGCAGATCGGCGGGGTCAGGGTGCACAAGCACATGGGATTTGCCACATTTCTGAAATTCGGTGGCACCCCTCACGCAGATCGGCGGGGGCAGGGTCCAAAAACACATAGGATTTGCTACATTTCTGAAATTCGTTGGCACCCCTAACGCAGATCGGCAGGGTCAGGGTCCACAAACACATGTGATTTGCCACATTTCTGAAATTCGCTGGCACCCCTCACGCAGATCGGCAGGGTCAGGGTCCGAAACACACAGGGGATTTGCCACATTTCTGAATTTCGGCGGCACCCCTCACGCAGATCCGTAGGGTCAGGGTCCAAACACACAAGGGATTTGCCACATGTCTGAAATTCGGTGGCACCCGCGACGCAGATCCGCAGGGTCAGGGTCGCAAAACAAACACGTCCCGACACTGCTTCACGGCGGCGCCCAGATTTCATGATTTAGCTTTTGCATCTCTCATTATCCGAGACAGGGGGCCGGCGGCATGGGGCGAAGCCCTTACAGATTATTCAACCCCCCATCTAAATTATGTGTGCCGTTTCGCCTTTGCGTCCGATGCGGTTCTGCTCAAGTCTCAAGACGGCCCCAAAGATGGCCCAACAGAGCCCCAAGGGGCCCCCCAGACGGCCCCACGGGCGCCCAAGAGCGGCGCAAGAGCGCCCCCAGAGTGCCTCAAGAGGCGATGTTGATGGCCCCAGGGGGGGGGGAAGTCTAGGTACCCCGCCCAGTCGATCAACGCCCAACAAGATGGCCACAAGAGGCCGTGCAGGGCTCTAGAGAGGACCACAAGAGAGCCCCGAGGGGGGCAGCCCACAGACTGCCCCAAGAGCGTCCCAAGAGCGTCCCACGACGGCCCCAAGAGACGGTTTGCCTCCTCCTCCTCCTCCTCCTCCTTCTCCTCGGAGGTGGCTCCTCCTCCTCCTCCTCCACTCGCCCCCCCGCGGGCCCCAGGGATGGCCCGAAGAGGCAATCCAAGGCCGCCCCCTTGCTCCCACAGATGTCTCTGCTCATCCTGGTTGCCAAATGTTGTTTTACTATATTTGTCTCCTCGTCCCTTTTCCCGTCAACTCTCTTGGGCAACGTTTCTGAACGGGCTAGTGGGGATATGCGGAGCGTAAGTAATCCATCTAATGTAAGGGTGCATGTGGGCAAGTCTGCCTAATGCGCAAACGCTTTCGCCCGTCGATCGATGTGCCCCGCCCAAAGTATCCTCACCAGTATGCGAGGTGTGCATACCACACCTTCTGCAGACAGAGAAGCCCAAGCTCTAAGCATGACTACTCGACAGCAGTCAGGCAGAAGGGAAGCGGCGGACTAAGGCATGAGGTGGGAGCAGGGGGCCGATGCAGTGTCCTGGCTGCAACCCCAGGTTGACACCTGCATGCTCCACGCTGAGGCCATGCCCGCAGCGGCAACCCAGGCTAGCGCCACCCTGCGAAACAACAACGCCCACACTGCTACCCCCCTGGGCCCCCAGCCTGAAGCTTCGAGCTCAAGGCTGGAACGCCCAGCGACGGGGAGGGAGGTTAGGGCAGGAGGGGCTATATGTGTATAGCGACCCCAACCACTCCTGGCTTCGTGGGACTCCCGACAGGCCAGATCATTCAGGGGCTGACTCGGGGATGTACGGGGGGGGGGGGGGAGCGTCTATCCTCGATGGGGGGTGCGTCCGAACAGCCCCCTGGGGCTGCAGTCTCGAATTTGGACGCCCGAAATGGGTACGGAAAGAACGGGCACTATGCCCAACAAAAAATGTTGTCCCAAGCCAACAGCGGCCGCTGTTGGGCAGGCGGCCTTCTGCCTCGAATGGACGCAGACCGCGGCGGCGTGGACAGCGAATCCTGCTCAAAATGAACAGGAGTTGTTGTTGGGCATTGTACCCATTCTTTCAGTACCCATTTCGGGCGTCCAGATCGAGCTCCCATCCCCCTTCCCCAACGGTCGCTGTGGCGCCAGGGAGCGCGCGCGTCGCCAGCGAAGGGGCGTGTGCCGCGCGGACGGCGACGGGCGGGGGGCAGACGCGGGGCCCGGGCCGGACGGACGAACCCAGGGCACGGGGGGCGGGCGCGCGGGGACAACGATCGATGTAGGAAGGCACCAACTATACACCAACACCGATCCTGGCCAGGATCACCCTGGTGTCGTGTGTACGCCCTCCTGCCTTGCGCAAGAAGGCACATGCACCGATCCTGGTGCCCTGATCCTGGCCAGGATCGGTGTTGGTGTATAGTTGGTGCCCTCCGACGATGGCTCTTTTCCTGCTGTGCCCAGTGATTCAGCAGGGACCGACCGTCCCGGCATTCTCCTACCACGAAATGTTCTTAGAACGCAACACGGTCGACCCACGAACCCGGAAAGGAATATATAGAAATGCAAGGCATGGCAACGTTTCAGAGACACCTGATTGGGCGACGGGCAAATGCAATGCTTAGTGTATCGATCTTGATGTACCGTGCGGAGGGCTGTGCTGTGCTGAACTGCGATGTGCAATGTCGCGACTGTGCTCTGTACCGTTGTGGATCGAGTCCTCCTTTGCATCCGAGTCCTGACCGAACTGATCTGGATCTTGAGCTCGAGCTGCCCTAGCACATAGTAGCTGCCCCAGAACTAATTGACAGGGGAACATGCCAGGAGGACGCGCCGCGGGACGTGCCAAGGGACGCGCCAGGCGACGTGCCAGGGGACGTGCCACGGAGACGCGCCGCGGGACGTGCCAAGGGGACGCGCTGCGGAACGTGCCAATGGACGTGCCACGGGACGTGCCAGGGGACGCTCCGCGCGACGTGCCAGGGGGACTCGCCACGGGACGCGCCACGGAACGTGCCAGGTTGCAATGCTGATTGTATCGATCTTGATGTACCGTGCCGAAAGCTGTGCTGTGCTGTGCCGAGCTGAATTGCGATGTGCCATGCCGCGATTGTGCTCTATAGTGTTGTGGATCGAGTCCTCCTTTGCATCCGAGTCCTGACCGAACTGATCTGGATCTTAAGCTCGAGCTGCCCTAGCACATAGTAGCTGCCCCAGAGCTAATCCACAGGGGAACATGCCAGGAGGACGCGCCGCGGAACATCCCAAGGGACGCACCAGGGGACGTGCCAAGGGACGCGCCGCGCGACGTGCCAGGGGGACTCGCCACGGGACGCGCCACGGAACGTGCCAAAGAACGTGCTAGGTTGCTATGCTGAGTGTGTCGAGCTTTACGTCCCATGCCGAAGGCTGTGCTGTGTTGCGCCGTGCTGAATTGCGATGCGCCATGCCACGACTGTGCTCTATAGCGTTGTGGATCGAGTCCTCCTTTGCATCCGAGTCCTAACCGAACTGATCTGGATCTTAAGCTCGAGCTGCCTGAGCACATAAGTAGTAGCTGCCCCAGAGCTAATTGACAGGGGAACATGTCAGGAGGACGCGCCGCGGGACGTGCCAAGGGACGCGCCAGGCGATGTGCCAGGGGACGTGCCACGTGGACGCACCGCGGGACGTGCCAAGGGGACGCGCTACGGAACGTGCCAGTGGACGTGCCACGGGCCGTGCCAGGGGACGCGCCGCGCGACGTGCCAGGGGGACTCGCCACAGGACGCGCCACAGGACGCGCCACAGGACTCGCCACAGGACGCGCCACAGGACGTGCTGAACTGCGATGTGCCATGTCGCGATTATGCTCTATGGCGTTTTGGATCGAGTCCTCCGTTGCATCCGAGTCCTGCCCGAACTGATCTGGATCTTAAGCTCGAGCTGCCTGAGAACAAGTCCACATAGTAGCTGCCCCAGAGCTAACTGCCAGGGGAACATGTCAGGAGGACGCGCCGCGGGACGTGCCAAGGGACGCGCCAGGCGACGTGCCAGGGGACGTGCCACTGGGACGCACCGCGGGACGTGCCAAGGGGACGCGCTACAGAACGTGCCGGGGACAAGCGTCGTGCTTGTGGCCTGGACAAGTAAACACACGGTGCCAGCTCGGGACAACCATGTTAGATACCCCCTGGGTGGCCTGGACACGTCAAAACACGTGGTTCCAGCTCGGGACAATCATGTTAGATGTCTCCCTGGGTGGCCTGAGCATGAAAAACACGTGGTTCCAACTCGGGACGGCCATGTTAGATACCCCCCTGCGTGACCTAAATACACTAAATTCGCGCTCCCGCTCGAGAAATCCTCGCAATGTCTTCCCTGGAGAGGCCCCCAAAGCGCAACCCCCTGTTCAGAGCAAGAAGCCATCACTTTTCTGTATTGGGACATGCGTTCGGGTAGCGCTTTTCGGCCCCCCGTGCGTTTCCTCATAATTCGGCGTTCGGCCCGACGCCATGTTACATACCCCAACTCAGCAAACTCACTCTGCTGGAACACTCCCCCTTGTAGAGGGACCTGCCCGACTGAACGCTGGGCCCCTCTCTGGCCATCGCTCGGACGTCCATTCCCTGTGCCGTTTTTCGGCTTCGTGCGCTCCTCCAGGACGCTCCTTAGCAATCCCCGCCGAGAAACAGTGCACACGTCCGAGCGATGCCAAGCTCCTGCGCTGGCACCCGGCCCGCACCCGTGGCGGCAGCCAGCGGGGCGGGCGAAGGGGCGCAGGGAGGCCGCCGGAGGGGGCGCCCCGCGGCCTTGGCCGCCAGGGCCAGCGCGCAGAGCTGCCTGTCCACCCGCTCCCACCTGGGGCCATTCGAGGGGGCGACGAGGAGGGGTCGGCGGCGAGCCCGGGGGGGAAGCGAGCAGGACAAGGCCTCCTCGGCCAGGGACCTGCTGACCTTTCGGTCGGCCGTGTCCCCCTGCAGGGGGATTTTGGGCGAAAAACAAAAAGGACCTCCAAAAATGCTCAAACATAGTCAAAAATATTAAAAAAAATCGTCCTCAGACTATTTTTTTACTATTTTTGAATATCTGTAGAAAGACAGGTCCGACTTAATGCTAACCCGGGTCACTCAGACCCGGGTCAGCAGGAACCCAAACAACTGCCATGCAGGAACAAAAAACAACTGCAACGCAAGGCTTCGCAGACCCGGGTCAGCGACCCATGCGCGGCCGCCTCCCGGCCACGAGCGGCTCGCCAACCCGGGTCAGCCAGAGGGGGTATTCGCAAGATCCTGCAGGATCCGGTGCCCTGGCTGACCCCCGTTTGCATTGGCCCCCGTCTCTTAAGCTCCGACTCAAAAGGCTCGGAAGTCCGCTGGCCTTCTGCGAAGTTCTCTGAGCCTTCCCCAGAGACACAGACAACAACTCAGAAGGCGCGAGGGCTGGGCTTCTGAGAAGTCCTCGCCGCCTTCTGAGAAGGCCTTCTCCGTCTCCCCTCCCCTCCTCTGCTCGCCGCCGAAGGGAAGCACGGGGGGAGGACGAGGAGGAGCCGGAGGGGGAAGGAGGAGCAGGCAGGCGAGGAAGGGCGAATGAGGCGGGGAAGAGGTCGCAGTGGGATGAGGTGGGCGAGGAGGAGATCAGGGTGGATGACCACGATAAGCAGGAAGAGGAGGAGGAGGAGGAAGAGGAGGGGGATGGGGATGGGATAGGGATGTGGAAGGGGATGGGGAAAGGGATGGGGATGCGGAGAAGGATGAGGGGGATGGTGTGAGGATGAGGATGAGGATGCCAAGGAGGAGGAGGAAGAGGAGGAGGAGGAAGAGGATAAAGAGAAGGAGGAGGCGAATGAGGAGAAACATGGGAAGGAGGAAGCCGACTTCCACGATTGGTTTCCTCCTCCCACTCCACCTCGCTGCTATTCGTCCTGCTCCAGCTTCTCCACTTCCTCCGCCTTCTACTTCTGCTGCTCACACTCCTCCAGCTTCTGCCCCGACTGCCTCTCCTGCTCCTGCCCCCGCGCTCGGCTACCTGTTTCGTGCTGCCGCCCATCGTGCTGTTCGT